GATGATGTCCTCTTTGGGTTCCTGAAGTAGTAAAATTCATGAACGTGAATCAAAATACTATAATTAAGCTCTGCTTCAACTACCTTTGTTCTTTTGGATTAACTGAAGGGAGGGAGCATAGTTATTTAGATATTTATTTGTTTTGAGGCAGCATCTCACTCTGTAATTCTGGCCAATCCAAAACTTGCTTTGCAGCCAGCCCGTGCTGGCCTGGAGCTTGGGGTGACTCTCTTCCCTCTGCCTCCTTAGTGCTGGGTTATCTGTATCGCCAAGCCCAGCTAAAAACAGTATTCCTTTTGAACTAGCTGCATACTTATTTTCATCGTGGATGTCTAGAGGTTTGATACTAATTATTCACTGTGAGACTTTTCCTTCTCAGCCTCCTCCTCTGCCCTTTAGAACATCAGAGCGCACCCGGTGGGCTTCTCCCGGACGGGTGCTTCTCTGAGCCTCTTGTCCAGGGAAGTACAAGACACTGGAATGCAGACTTTTGTGGGTCACTGGCGCTGGGCCCAGGTACTGACTTGACTGTTTGCTTTTCTAGCTTGATAAGACACACCATCCTATTGGTTCGTGGGACAGCAAAGAACACCTTCTACAGTCTGTTGGGATTCTAGCAGAGAAAATTAAGGCGATCCAGAGAAAATTCCCCACATGGAATACGGCTCAGCACCTCAGAGGTAGGCCCTGAGCCTAGTGCTTTGTTTAAGTGAGCATTAAATGAGACTACTAAAAGCATCCGTGCCCCAGGCCCCTGGGTTGGCTAGGAGGGCGTCCCTGTCTAAAGCATGCTTTAGCATTGTCTGGACCATGCATGACTATACATCCTTTACCCTCCTGCAAGATGTTGGGTTTCTTACTGTACTTCTAGTCAACTACTAAGCCACTGAATAATATCATAATAGCTCATAGGTCCCCCCCCACCCCCGGATCCAACACTACTAACCATTTTACAAGTTGTTCAAATAAACTCTAAGAAATTTCAGAGCTCCACTTACCCCAAGAAGTCTAACTGAAAACTTCTGTTTGGCTGAACTCGGAGCCCATCAAGCTTGAAGCTCCCAGACGGAATTAACTCACTAGGCCCACCACCATATCTTCCCTTTGCTTTTATTTTACTCTCTGAAGACACTGAAGTCATCTCAGCCAGAAAAAAAAACAATTTTTCCCCTCCTTGGACTCACTTGCTTTTTCTATCTATCCAGCCACACCAATTCCTCAGTCTGCCTCTTAAAGGATCATGATTTGTATATTTACACGTATACTCTCTCCCCACGCGTAAACAGTCTGACTTTGAGCAAAGAGTTTTGTCTTTTTATCTCAGGGTCCTCAAAGGCAGGAAGGAGATATCAGCATAAAGCACAATTCTTTTAAATATGCTAATAATGATCTAAGATGGACGTCTAGGGTAAAATAGTGCATGTATGTACACAAGCCCCCATGAGAAAGGAATACATCTTGGGTACCTTGCACTCAGTGAGGAGCCTTTTCTGGCACACAATGGGTCCTTTTAAAAACATATGAATGAGTGAATGAATTGCTGAATGCATGAGAGAATGTTACCATCTTGTATTAATTAGTTCTGTCAGATCTGGGCTCTGTGAGGAGAAAGCAGAACCCTCACCACCCTGGAATATTTGCCTGGAGGGTGGTGGGTTGCTGTCTTTGGGGGATCGTGTCTTATTAGCTGACAGCTAATACTGCAATCTAAGCCTGTGTGTTTCATTTCAGGTGGCCTGCTGGCTTTTAAGTCAGGACTGGAAACCATCGTCACTCCTGCAGACATAGAAGCTGACTTAGTCGATGACGTTATTGCCCGAGCCAAATTCTATAAAAGACATGGCTTCTAGGCAGAGGTATGCTGGCGGGGTATACAACTGGCCCCCCTCTCAAAGTTTAATATTAGCCCATTGCACTTAATAGGAACAAAGAAATGGTTAAAATTATGAAAGTTCATCTCCAAACTTTTTAATAAAAGCAAGCAAAAGGGAAGGGAGGGAGGGAGGGAGGGAGGGGAGGGAGGTGGGGTGGGCATACGGTATAGCTGGCTGAGCTCTGGCCTAGTCTGCGCCCCAAGTTCACATATGGTTCCCAGGAACATTCACAGGCATACACATAATTCCTTGTCAATATGAACATCATGGCACGTGCATGTTTTAGCCAGGCTTCATTTTAGCTTATGAACTGAATGATCACTTACACTCTGCCCACCAGAATTACTAATAAGAAGTGAGCCTTTGTCCCTTTCCCAGTATCTGCCCAATCGCTAGGACTCTGCTCATGAGATGTGTCTGTCTCAGCGGCCAGATCCACCCTGGGGAACAGACGGAGAGGAGACGATGGTCCTCATCAAGAAAGGACACAATAATGTGTTGGATTGTGAAGCTTCCTGTGTTCTTTCTGGGTTTTTTGTTCTTGTTGGAGACATTTGGTACACATTTTCTTCCTGTCTCTTTTCTTTCTGAGAAGGAACCAAAATTTTTACCATCCTTCCTTTAGCCACGTTGGAAAGAGCCAGGTGAACCACTCTCTGCCCAGAAAGCACCCACTCCAGCCTGAAGAAGGGGTCAAATCAGAGCCAGGAATTGTTTTTGAGACAAGGGCTCACTCTACATCCCAAGCTGCCCTGAAACTCATAGAAATCCTCCTGTCTCAGCTTCTCAAATTCTGGTATTTTAACTGTGGACCATCGTGCACGCTGTATAATCATTCTTAGGGCTGGACAAAGCCCAAGCTTTACCAGCTGTTAAATGTTCGTGTTCTCCTCCCTGCCTGGGTTTGGTCAAAGGTCTTCTTCAGATGTCCATGCTGCTCACGGACGATTTCTTTTCCTTTTCCCCCTAGAAGTATTCATTTCCTTCAACACCAGCCCCTTTGATGTGACTACTGTAAAGACAGCTAATGTGTAGGCCAGATAAGCTTTAGGTAATCTGTACAACTGGAAATAGTACGCTGGCTTACTCCCTGAATCTTTCCCTCAGAATCAGACCTGTGATTAAAAACGTGGGTGCAACTGGTTTAGGGGAGCACAGAAACCAGTTATAAAGTGGTTCAATGATACGGGATGAGAAAACAAAACATGTGTCAGCAAGCCAACTGCCCTCATGAGCAACGGGACCCAGCCTTGCAGGAAAGCAATGTGGACCTGTGTGAAACACTGACCTCAGAATTATCTGCCTTCACTGGTGCAGGGCTGGAGTCTGCCTGTATGGGGAGGCTTCTTGCTAGTCTGATCAGCTAAACAAGCCCAAATAGAGAGCACTTGTCCAAATTTCCAAGCGTGAGGAATTGCAGCACACACAGGTAGATCAAGAGAGGCTTCTGAGAGGTTCAGGGACCCAGAAGAACGGACACCGTCTGCCCCGCAAGGCAGGAACACCCTTCAGTGCTTCCCGTTGGCATCTCGGACTGAATATCATGTTACAAAGAATCTGGGAAGGACACACAAGTCTACCGTGCCTCCTGGTTTGTGTGCTGGGCCTCTGCAGAGTCTACTAGACACAGTCCCACCATCCCAGGCCCCACCTGTCAGGCATGGTGAACTTCCGGGAACTTACTGAGAACGATGCCAAAGATGTTAATCCCAAAATATGGCACCATTAAATTCTCCTCTGTCTTCATCCATCTCCATTTTCTTTATATTTGTTGTCTGAGTTCCTCTTGGAGATAATGATTATGAGTCAGGTTTCTCACTGTAAAGCTTACTTTTCACTTTTAAAAATGTCTCCAAATTGGGGTGAATACAGTTGCTGTCATCTGGATCTGGAGTGGCCCCCAAAAACCCACATGTTAAATGCTTGGCCCCAGCTTGGCCTCAGCAGCAGGTGTAATGTTCACGAGGCACACTGAAGTGGACATCAAGCCCCAGCCTCCCTCCCATCATTCCCAACCTCCATGCGGTCAGCAGATCTGCTCCTTCATACATTCCCTGCCGTGTGCTGCTTTGGAAAAGCCTTGTTTGTGTTTTCTCTGATGTGCCACCCGATAGAGTGCTTCTGAGAACCCGTCTTGCTATGCAGCCCAGGCTGGCTTCAGATTCTTTCCCCTTCCATGCTAGCCTGTTTATTGGTGTAAGACTGAAAAACCTCACAGCAAACTCCTGGTTTTACGATCTTTGTGCCTCCACTTTCAGGACGGTCCCTGAGCCTTATGTGCAGGAGTCGTACTGTGGATGTACTGTGGATGTACTGAACGGGGCTGGACTCCCACTCAGCTGATCTCCACACTGCAGGGAGATCATGCCTGGTACAAGAAATCTAACCAACTGCACGTGACCAGTAGGTCACGTGTCTTAGAGGAGAACTTTCTATCACCATATTAGTAGGCCACTGTAATTCCTATCTGCAGTCTAAAATGTATCTCTACCCATAAGTAAGTGTATCTCTCATTCAAAATCAAAAAAGCGTCTCTTTGCGTTGAATGGAAACCTTTGCAGAAATCCAAAACTGGTCTCTTGGGTTTTGCTTGTACTGAGACCGGGTCTTAGTACACAGTCTTGGCTGGCCTAGAACTCAGTGTGTGTGTAGTCCAGGCTACCTTGAACTCACCAGAGACCGGCCCATTTGCCCCTCCCTTCTGAGTGCCAGGGTGTGCACCACGCCTGGCTCTTGCTCCCTCTCTTGCTGTGAAATATCACCTATCATGCTAGGACCCTGCAGGAGGTCCTCATGAGGTACGCTGCCACAGCTTGGACTTTTCAGTGCTTACAGCCAAAATAAACTCCCTTGCCTGATAAAGTATCCAGCCTCGGGTACTCTGTTCTAGCAGCACAGGACCGACTACAACAGGACATTTATAGAACTCAATGCAAAAGCAATTAAAGAAGAAAGCAGTTTCTATAAAGCGCCAGCGACAATTGTTAAAGTCTCTGGGCCTAAAGTTCGACGGCGGGCAAAGCCGTTCTTGCCCACCCGTGGAGCAAAATTCTTAGGGGACAGAGGGAGAGGACTTAACCAAGTCATCTCCAAGAATCACAGCAGCATTCACCAGTGGAAAGAACAGGGCTGAAGCTCACTTTAATGAGAACCATTTCCTCAGTGACTGCAATTTGTAACCCGCAGCTGTGGGGCTTCAGGGCTTCGCCTCCTGCTCCACAGGCTTCAGATGCCACTGTACTACCAGTTCCCCGGTGCTCTTGAGGCACGTGCTAGACATGGTCTCTTCCGTGGGAAGGCCCTGAGGCAGCTTCAGGGGCTGGATGCGTACCAAGTGCTGAACCACTTTCAACTTCGCGTTCACTGAAGGGATGTTCTTGTGAATTTGAGGGCTGTGCGCCTATGAACAAGAAGAGTGATGTCTCACGTCAGCTTAAGGGACAGTGGCCCCATTTCAGGAAGACCCACTGAAGGCACACCCTTTCTAAATTAAATTCTAAGTAGGTCACACTAAGTAACACATTTAAACGTAAGAAATAAAAAACACACGCAGTGTGGGTTTAAAAGTATGAGACCAAAGCACTCGGGAACTGACGTGACCACTAGAATCGCCGCTACCTTCTGTAGCCCAAGCATCTTGATCGTCTCTTTTTCCCAGTACGGACGCCTTTTTGTACTTTTTATTCTTGTGACAACGTGCAGTTTATGAGGGTGGTCGGGGTCCCCGCCGTATTTTTCATGATCTTCAGGTCTAGGCTGAAACACCTAGAAAGGGAGAATTACTAATGGCCACTCTTCCAAATTACAGTTTTTATATATTGTCTATTCCTTCTCTTTAAAACGGACACACGCCAACACACAAACAAAATCAGTGATCTCATCCCTAACCTTCATGTAATCCTCAACCTCAGACTGAATAGTCAGACGGCCTTCAAGAGTTACATACTTAAAAAACAAAACAAAACAACACAACAACAACAACAACAAAAACAGCTGGGTGGTGGCGGTGCACACCTTTAATCCCAGTGCTTAGGAGGTGGAGGCTGGCGGATCTCTGTGAGTTCAAGGCCAGCCTGGTCTGCAAATGGAGTTCTAGCACAGTTAGGGCTATGCAGAGAAACTCTGCATGTGGGTGTGGGGAGAAAAGGGAAATACCACACAGGTAGCGGTTTGTGTTTTAACTTTTGAACACGGCAGAAGCACTGGATGACATGCAAGGATTTAACAGCAAGAGAATGAAGAGCAGTGCAGGCTTCGGGTTTTTAGAACCGGGCACTCAGCCAGTGCAGTTAGTACAAACCTCCCGCCCCCAGCTGAGAAACTCAGAGTCAGAAACTGAGGGCTTAGTGGCAAACTGTGTCCTATATATCTTTACACATAAGAAATATTAGGGGGTGGTGCTGGCGAGGTGGCTCAGCACTCAGGAGCAAGTGTTGCTTCTGCAGAGGACCAGGGTTCAGTTCTCAGCCCAGCCCCACACGGTGCTCACAGCCACGGTCTGCTGCTGTCTTCTGACCTCCACAGGCACTGGGAACTCACACTCTCTCTCTCTCTCTCTCTCTCTCTCTCTCTCTCACACACACACACACCACACACGCGCAGCCACAACACTTGTTCACGTAAAAACAGCTTTAAAAAAAATCTAAAAATAAATACACAGTGGAGGGAAAAACAAGGCTAAGGCTGAATGGTTTTTGCTCTGTGATTGTGCTCCCAAATATCTACCCAACACATCGAAAACTAATAGGCGTACCAATAGTTGCAGACAAGTACTTATGCAGCTGCATTCTTGGCCCAAACTGGAAGCAGGCAGGAAGTCCTTTAGCAGCTGAGAACTACATAAACCCTTAGCATGGACTGCTATGCAGCCGTAAGAAGAAATAAACAATTCAGGGAAAGATAAAGCTAGAGAGTGGGTAAAACTAGGATTTAGAAGTTATGGCGGACGTTAACAGGAAGCACTCAGGTGACATTCAGGGCACTGTACGGTTTCTATGTGACACCTGACACTGAACATCTGTCAGAATCCAAGGATATGCAGCATGAACAGTAACCCCTAGTATAAATGATGGCCTGATGTCAATGTCTTCATTACTTCCTCTATTTTAACAATTGCTCTACATTAATGCAAAATATTAAAAATCCAGGGAAACTGCTTGTTGAAAAAAAAAAATCAGAGGAAGCCTCACGATTTTCTAACCATTTTCTTTTGTATAACTAAGCTGTCTTACAAAATAAGGTTTAATTAATCAAAAAGCAAGAATAATCCTTTTGTACACTGTGTGAATATACATTGCTATGATTGGTTTAATAAACAAGCCGACTGGCCAATAGCCGAACAGGATAGAGTTAGGTGGGAAAGCTGAACTGAGATGAACGATGAGGAAGGGCAGAGTCGAGGAGCCACCAGCCAGATGGAGAACGAGTCAGACACACAAAATGGAACAGAGGTAAAAGCCATGAGCCTCAGGGCAGCAAACAGATGAACAGAAATGGTTAAGTTGTAAGAGCCAGTTAGTAATAAGCTGAGTTGTTGGCTGAGCATTTATAATTAATAGTGAGCCTCTGAGTGATAATTTGGGAGCAGGTGATCAGGACAGGAAAACTGCTACACACACACACACACACACACACACACACACACACACACACACACGTATAACCCAAACAAAATGAAAGCAAAGCAAAACAAACAAACAAACAAAAATCAATGGAAGGCTTAGCTGATGTTACCTAAACAAAAACTAAAACAATACAAGTCAAATGGCAATGGCTCATGTAGGAAGTCACACGGTGACAGCCTCGATAGGAAGATTCATTGTCTTCTCAGGACATCGGTGATGAGAACCACAGTATGTAAAAGGAAGACCATAAGCAGGAGCACACAGACTCGGAAGTGAGAAGAGCCCGGTAAGCCCGTTCCTACGAGAGCAGTCAGTCACCACCAGGGCTGCAGGCTCTGCACTACACCTGTGTGCACGCGTGACTTAACAGAAAACTAGTGCCAGCAGCTGTGGGCTGTGAGCTGTGACGTGAGCTGTGATGTGATGTGGGCTGTGATGTGAGCTGTGATGCGATGTGGGCTGTGATGTGAGCTGTGATGTGATGTGAGCTGTGATGTGGGCTGTGATGTAGGCTATGAGCTGTGATGTGAGCTGGCACACAGGACAAATATGCTTGCTGCCAAGCCTGGTGACTGATGGTCTGGGTTCCACTCCCCGGGAGCCAGATGCCAGTGAGAGAGAAATGACTCCACAGAACTGTCTTCTAGACCTCCACACAAAATCAGGGCATGCACACACACATGTGATATGATAAGGAAAGACATGATACTACACATGCAACTTTATAAAGTTAGGTACTTTAAAAAATATTATTTAAAAAGAAACAGGTCTTACTTTATCTGGAATCCTTGACCTGGTAAATTTGTGACGAATCCAATCCGTACCAATGAGAGATTCCACACCTTTTTCCACAGTCTGCAGCAGAAAACATTTGTTATTTAGAACTCTGTCTAGTGTGAAAATCCATTAGGTAACAAATGTCTGTAATGTCTAACTGCACTCCCTCACTGGACAGATACATCACACACAGACTTCCACTCCGGGAGTTGCTAACTTCCTTCTCTAAGGGAGCAGAGGCAAATATTTCCACCTCTGGAGCTACTCAGTCTCTACTGCCAAGGCTTGTCTCTGCCAATACAATAACAGATATTCAATATAGAATGCAGAAACAGGTAATATGCAAATAGGGGTGGCTGCTTTAAAGTCATTTTATTCATAACTGATAATCTTCAAATTTGCCTTGGAGGTCATGATCTACCAACTCTTGTTTGTTTTTTGAAGACAGGGCTTCTCTGTGTAGCTCTGGTTGTCCTGGAACTCAGGCTGGCCTTGAACCCAGAGATCTATTTGCCTGTTTCTTCCTCCCAAGTGCTACAATTAAAGGCAGAGCCATCACACTCAGCTAAAGCTTGTGTGTGCTGGTTACCTTTTTTTCTGGTGGGGGAGGTGGGGGTCTTTTGTTTGTTTGTTTTTTCTGGAGCTGAGGACTCAGCCCAGGGTCTTGTGCTTGCTAGGCAAGCGCTCCATCCACCACTGAGCTAAATCCCCAACCCCAGAGTACCAACTCTTAAGCTAGGCAGTAAGTAATAGTTTACCTTCAACAAAACCATGTAAAAGAAATCCCAAATGAGAGGCTGGGGTGGTGTCGGGCTGAGGGAGGAAGATCCCTTCAAGCCTGCCCAGTGCTCACAAGGCACCAAGAGATAAATAGAACAAACCAAAGGAAATCATTTACATCAAAAGGAGCTTTTAAAAAGACTAGTTTGCTTGTGTGTTTTATGAGCAAAAGGAGAGGGAGAAAAAAAAAAAAAGCCCAGCCTTTAAGGCAGAGTTCTCAACTAGCATGCACAAAGCTGAGTTCAATCCCCAGCTCTGCATGAAACTGGGCACTTGGGAAGTGGAGTCAGGCAAAGTTTAAGACTACCCTCAGTTACAGAGTGAGTCTGAGGTCAGCCTGAGCCACATGAGAAACACATAGAGAACTTACCTGCAGTCTGCCTGGAGGCTTCTGAAATACTGAGCGCAAAATGCCAGCCATATGTGCTCAGAGGCTGAGGAGTGGGAAACAGAACACTGGTGAAACACATTACAAATGGACAGATTACCCCTTCTACAGAGGTAAAACCATAAGCAGTCACTAAACACTAAGCAACCCTATTTCTATCAAGTGAGTTTAGAGTCTGCGCCCATTCCATAAAACTGGGAAATGGGGGTTTTCTGTCACCTGAACCTCATCACAGTGAGTATAAAGAATATTTGGTCATTCTTCTTTGTCAGAGAAACCACAGAAAACACGAAACTAGACAGGCCTGAAAAAATTCTACCTCTTAAAATCAGAGCCAAGTGCCCTGTTATTTTATATATGAAGAAAACTATTTCCAGAAAGTTATCATGTACCCAAGGGCATCTAGCCATTAAGAGAGAATGTACAGATGGGCATTGGTGACGTCTGCCTATAACCCTACACTTGGGGAGCCTGGGGGGCAGGAAGACTCTGAGTTCCAGGCCATCCTGAATTACACAGCAAGATCTAGTCTCAAACAAACAAAACAGTTCAAAAAATAAAAATTGAAAAAAAAAAAAAAAAAAGCACATATTCCCTAACTCAGTTCTCCTAGCCAGCAGCGCATTTTTACTAAATCATTAACACTTTTCTGTTACAAAAAAAGAAGAGGTCGCTGAAAAGCAGCTCAGTTGCTAAGGTACTTTTTTGTGCAAGCTTGAAGAGTCAAGTTCAAATAACTAATACAGATGGAAAAGCTAGGTATGGTGGCCAGGGTCTGTAGCCCCAGAGCTGGAGTAGAGACATTCCTGGAGCACACTGGCCAGCCAGCCTACCCAAATTGGAAAGCTCCAGGTTGTGAGACTCTGGTTCAAAAAGAAGATGGAGAATGTCCAAGAAATACATCTCCGCGTGTGCACCACTATGCACAATGCATCAGAAAGGAGCTACTCGGAAATGCAAACCCATGGGAAATGTACCAGAAGGACATACACAACTGAAAAAAAAAAAAAAAACTCCCGATGGCCCAACTGGATCAGTTTAAACAAATGCATTATGAAGTATTGGCTTGTAAAAAAAAAACCAAAACAAAAACAAATATGGGAAAGTCCGCACTCGCATTCATAGGTACATTAACTGCAAAAGAGAAACAGGTCCTCGAAGAAGAATTCTGTTTTCTATGGGGCTACTTCCCCTCAGGCAGACAGAGGGAACTACTCATCCCTTCAATGTGTGCTCCGGAGAAGAACTTGCTCCTAAGGAGCGCAGTATAGAAAAGGAGAAAATCACCTTTTTTTAGAAAATGGACAAACACTCCCTCCACCAGGTGTTCAAGGATATGTAACACCAACAGTGACATAAGTTGACAGCATTCCAGCCAGAGCTACACAGTGCCAACCTATCACAAAACAAAACAAAACGTTGATACACTTGACAGACACAAAGATATGTAATAAGTTGTCTTTTATCCCAAAGTCCATCCATAACCCCACTTAAGAGAAAAACCACTCCTAATTGAGGGTCACTGTGTGTTCTGGCTAGTTTTATGTCAACCTGAAATAAGCCCTACTTATTTCTGTTCCTGCTCTGACTTCCTTCAACGGTGGTCTACGAAAGTGTAAACCAAATAAACGCTTTCTCCCCAACTTGGCATCTTTTTGGTCATGGTGTTTCATCACAGCAATAGTAACCCTAACTTTCTATTCTGTGGAAAACACTAGTACGTTTTCAAATACCTCACCTCTCAAAACTGTCAAGGTCATTGCAAACTAGAGACCTGAAACACTGGTCAGAAGGATCCCAAGAACTACAATCTTATACATAATGTATCCACATTGGTATATGGGTGGGGTCCTGGAATATAAAAGAACACTGGGGAACACCAAAAAGAAAATCTGTCTGAATAGAGCAAATAACGCTAATAATGCAAAAATGATACTTGATATTAAAAGGGGAAACTGAGTATGAAAGGTATAGGAAGCCGGTATTAGCTTCACCAGTTGTCTGGAAATCTAAAATTGGCTAAAAGTAAAGTTCATTCATTAAAAAAAAAAAAAAAAGCTGGTACTATGAATGTTTCATGGGTGGAATGTTTGCCATGCATACACGAGTTGCTTGGGGCAAGAGTTAATACTGTCTCCCGTGGCTCTCCACTTTAGCCGGATGGAAATCTAAGATCCTAACCCTTGCCATTGCATATCACTGCCAACCTTCACCCATCTTCCCTCATATTCTCCTATTCTTCAGCAGAGTAGCTGGCTTTCCACATGACCCAGAACTGGTCAAGCTAGAGTTCTTCCCTTTGACTCTCTGGCATGCCTTTCTTTTCCAATTTTTGGCTCAAACTTTATTTTAGCAACAAGGTCTACCTGGACCACATTGCTTGAGTTTCACCATTATCATCATTGAACAAGGTCTACCTCCATCAAACTGTCTAACATTGTCAGCCACACTCCTGCCAGCACTCCGTCCCTTGTCTTACTTGGATACTTGTGTCCTATTGTAATTTACTGGCTTAACATTTAGCAGCTGTCTCTACTCAAAATGCAGGACAGTGCCAGAAGACAAGGACTTTATATTTTGTTTTAGATCAGTGTCTCTCAAACTACACTCAATATTTTCTGCTGGAATTTAACTTATAGACGTAAGCAGGTGTCACCATCAAAACTAACCGATTCTGTTGTTGGTCCCCAATAGTGTGTTTGTGAGAGTGAGCGTGAGTATGTGTGTGTGTGTGAGAGTGAGTGTGCATACTGGTAACCAAACCGAAAGCCTTTGCAATAGAAAACAAGTGCTCTCCATCTTCAAATTCTAGTCTCAATAAGGTAGAGGTATTCTTCCTACACAAAAAACAGAAAAATGGGGTTGGCGAGATGATGGCTCAGCAGTTGAGAGCACTGTTGCTCTTCCAGAGGACCCAAGTTCGATTCCTACTGCCCACATGACAGCTCACAAAAGTTTGTAACTCTAGTCCCAGGGTCTCTATCACATGACAGCTCACAAAAGTTTGTAACTCTAGTCCCAGGGTCTCCTTGGACACTGTATGCACATGGTGCACAGATATGACGGCCAAAACACCCATACACATAGAAACAAACAAACTGCAAAACACCAGGTATCACATGAGCTATATAACCTGTTCCTATTTTTAATATATGAATCATGTGTATATAAAGAAAAGTCTGAAGGTTGCCAAACTCGCTTTTCTTCTCCCTCTCCCCCAGTGTCTCTTAGTTTTTGTTCTTGTTGAATTTTTGTTTTGTTTTGATGTCTTCAATGACTCTGATACAGACGCCTCTTTACCTCCTAACTACAGCACCAGCTCTTAAGTTGTTAGGTTTTCTTTCTCTCTTTCTAAAGAGACAAGGTATACATCTATAACGTGGAGAAGACATTCCTGAAAAATGCAGAATATAGAATTCCGCACGCAATCAACTGAGATCTCTGAAGCCAACAACTGTCTCTCTCCCCTGAGTCCCCAGGGACTATAAAGTAGTAACCAGGCATCATAACGGCCTCTCAGCCAAAAGAGAAGGGCTAGACGGGTGACAGTCAAAGCAGTTTGCAAAATCACTGTGTTTAGTAAGCAGCAGCTATGAAAACCGCATTCTGCGTCGCAGTAACTTAAAATTAAAACTTTTGCCCGTTAAAGTTGTTGTTCCCCGCTGCTGCTCCGGGAGAGGCACAGAGAGAGCTGCAGGCAGGCAGGCTCGCACGCAGGGCTGCAAGGGCGAGGCTCCGGGAGAGCCGCGAATCAAGCGACGCCTCGGCCGCTGTCAGAAGCCCTGGGCGCGGGCCGACTCCGGAAGGGAGGGGGAAGCCGGCCGGCATCGCAGGGAGCAGGGAGAGCCCCGGGAAGAACGGCGCGCCTCCGGCTCCCGCAGCCCGACTCACCCGCTGCGTCCCGTCCGAGCAGCCCCGCAGCCGGAAGGGGCGGGGCGGCGGCGGCGGCGGCGGCGGCGGCGGGCGGACCCAGTGCGACCCTCGCAGCACGCCGCGGCCGTCACAGCGCGCGCGGCTCTTTGGTTCCGCGGGCGGGGTTGCTTGTTTTTCGTTCCGGCCCGGACGCTCCCATTCACAAAGCTCCGTGTGGGGGACTGCGCAGGCGCCGCGGGGCACGCCAGCTGCGCGCTTCCCGGGCTCGGCCGTGGGATCGCTGGCCGGCTGCGGCGATGGCTCAGCCCAGCCCGGGGCAGGACGCCGACAGCACGGCCGCGGTGGCCGTGCTGAAGCGGGCGGTGGAGCTGGACGCCGAGTCCCGGTTCCAGCAGGCGCTGGTGTGCTACCAGGAGGGCATCGACATGCTCCTGCAGGTTCTGAAAGGTCGGCTAGGTTTCGGTTTCCGCGCCATCCGGGGCAGTCAGGGGAGGAAAAGGAAACTTCCGAGCGGGCGGGAGCGGTCTGTCGGCTGCTGCTCTGCGGGACCGCGCAGAAGGGGCGCGGGGCACTGTCCCGCACTGTGAGAGACGGAGCCACATACAAGACATACATAAGCCCTGCTGGGTCTTGCGTCTGAGTGAAGCTTATGATTAGTAGTATTGTTGTTGTTGTTGTTCGTGGTGGAGCCACATATAAGACATACATAAGCCCTGCTGGGTCTTGCGTCTGAGTGAAGCTTATGATTAGTGTTGTTGTTGTTGTTGTTCGTGGTGGAGCCACATATAAGACATACATAAGCCCTGCTGGGTCTTGAGTCTGAGTGAAGCTTATGATTATGATTATTACTATTGTCTGTTTGCGACAGGATTTTCCTTCTCTCTGTTACTCTGTCTCCACTTCACGCCCCCAGTGTGACCCGATGAGTTTCATTAGGGTGGAGGTTTGTTTGCATAGGGATATGTGCACCTTACCGGTGACTACACCACTGAATAAACACACATAAAGACAGGGGCGGCTTGAACCTTTCCTCCTTCGTTCGTTCGTTCCTTCCCTCCCTCCTTCACCCCTCCCCCCTCTCTCTTATATTTGTAAATTTAAATTAGAGACACTCTTATTTTGCACATCAACCCCAGTTCAGTTCCCTCTCCCTCCCATCTTCCCATGTCCCCCACCGGCCCCCTCTTTCCCTCTTTCATGACAGGCACACGTTTGTGGTGATCCTGTACAGGTAATCACGGATGCTGTGAGTTAGAATGCAACGGACATGTCGTGCTAGAAAGTCTTGAGTCCACATTACTCCTTCCCTTCCTCTGGCTCTTATTCCCAGCACTCGGGAAGCAGAGGCAGGCAGATCGCAGTGAGTTTGAAGCCAGCCTGGTCTACAGAGCGAGCTCTGGGACAGCCAAGGCTACGAAGAGAATCCCTGTCTCGAAAAACCACGCACGCGCGCACACACTCACACACACGCGCGCGCGCACACACACACACACACACACACACACACACAGTATAAGCCAAATAAGCCTCCTCCCATGACTTTTTGGTCATGGTGTTTTGAAGAAACAATAGAAACCCTAACTAAGACAAGTTGGTACCGGCAGGACAGTGGGCACCTCTGTGACAGACCTGACCGTCGTTTCGGGGAGGGTTGTGGAAGGATTTTGGAACTTTATGCCAGAAAAGCTATTGAGTGTTCAGTGCTTTGAGCTGTTCTGTAAGGCTTGGAAGCTAACAGCAGCCTAACAGGCTGGGGACATCACACGGCCGGAGGGTTGTGAGATAGAACTCACTGCTAGAGAGAGAGAGAGAGAGAGAGAGAGAGAGAGAGAGAGAGAGAGAGAGAGAGGGAGGGAGGGAGGGAGGGAGGGAGGGAGGGAGGGAGGGAGGGAGGGAGGGAGAGAGGGAGGGAGACAGAGAGGGAGACGGAGAGACGGAGACTGCTCAAAAGCTGGTGGTGAGAAAAGAATTTGGCACTCATTTTTCACCATCATTTGGGTCCCAGGGATGGAATTCAGAGTTTCAGACTTAGTGGCAAGTACCTTTTCCTGCTGAAACATCTTGCTGGTCCCTGTCTTCCTCGTCTATAACAACTGTTTGTGTGCTGTAACTGGCTTCCTAGGGGAACTGCATGAATCCCTTGCAAGGGCGGCATCTCAGTGACCTCCCACTTGGAGGTTCCACTGCGTCCTAACTTTGTTATACAGGACCAGGCTCTTCATGAGCCTTTGAGAGAGGAGGTGCACTTAAAGCCTGTCCAAGGGAAGAGAGAAAAAAGATGTTTATTCGTCCAGAAGAACTACAGGAGGGCAGGCACCCAGCACACCGAATTTGAGCACACTGTAAAAGGGAAGGGAACTTGTGGGAAACTTGACAGAGTCCCTGTTTTTTCTTTTTCAATTTGCAGGCACTAAAAACGCCAGTAAGAGATGTGTTCTCAGAACAAAAATCTCTGACTACATGGATAGAGCAGAAAACATAAAGAAATACTTAGACCAAGAAAAAGAAGGTAAAAAAGCTGTTTTCAGGAACATGGCTGGGGTTGTTGCTCAGGGGCGGATGCAGCTAGAGGCCCTGCATTCAGAGCTCCTGTTTGTTGGATCGTGGATGGTCACTTGTCTGGGCCACTTGTGCCCGGGAGCTTAACATATTGCTCTGTGTTTCCATCTTCCTCATATATTCTTGTAAACAGTGGCTGGCTTTCAGTTTGGGACCTGGGACTCGATAGCCTTTGAATACCTGGTAAAAGCTTGGCCATTTTTAAGGCATTTGCAGATCACTATGAAACACATGGGTGAACCTCAGTTTAAGATTATTGCAGAGGAATACTGAATGTGGATCCTGTGTGTATGTTGTCTTGTATGAAAAGATGGAAATCATTAGACTAGCTAAAGACACTCCAGGGTCTTCTCGAAGGTTGCTGCGACTCAGCATTTCACGAGTTATGTATTTCTGGTGATTGAGAGGTGAGGTGGATCCTCTGGATCTGTCCTGAGTTCCCGGCTCATGGACGTCTGTGTGAGTGGGCGTGGCCACCCCACCTGAAGCACACTGGTCACACTAGTGTAGCTTGTGTTTCGTAGATGGAAAATATCACAAGCAAATTAAAATAGAGGAGAACGCAACTGGGTTCAGTTACGAGTCACTGTTTAAAGAATACCTTCACGAGACAGTTACGGAAGTTTGGATCGAAGACCCTTATATTAGGCAAACTCATCAGGTATGTGGAATGTGCTAAAACATAGAGACATGTAACTTTAACCGTACAGTCAGTCATGGATTTGATCAGAAATACTGTTAGAAATCCTACCTATGTTGACATATACAAACATGACAATATAACAGTAATGGGAAGTGTTTACATTGTTTTGGGTAGCATGAGTAGTTTAGAGATGATGTAAGTCCTCAGGAGGGTGTGTGCAGGTTCTAGGCTGATAGAGCATCATTTGGGATGGGGTTGGAGAGATGAGATGGCTCAGAGGTTAAGAGCATCTGTTGCTCTTCCAGAGGTTCTGGGTTCAATTTAAATAAATCTTTAAAAAATAAATAAAACAAGTCAGGTGGTGGTGATGCACGCCTTTAATCCCAGCACTCAAGAGGTAGAGAGGCAGGCAGATCTCAGTGAGTTTGAGGCCAGGGTGGTCTACAAAGAGTTCCAGGACAGCCAGACTGTTACACGGAGAAACCCTGTCTCAAAAAAGTAAAACAGACTTAAATAAAGTAATGAAGGAAGCATCTGTGGACAGGACCTTGCTGGACCCTGAGGAGAAACTGTACGAGTTAGTGCTAATCTATCCTTAATACCTTTCAGCTGTATAACTTCCTTCGGTTTTGTGAGATGCTGCTTAAGAAGCCATGTAAAATAAGAACTATTCACCTTCTCACCTCTGTGGATGAAGTAGGTACCTGACAGACCTCCTTCCTTCTTGACTTACTGAGTTCAGTTACAAGGAACCTGGTCCAGTACTTCAGCTACATGTATTTCCTTGGAAGCAACTTTCCATGTATGTAGTACCAAGCATAGCATATCTAAGAAAAAGTTATTGATTTGAGAGTGTTGATCTTCTATTCAGCCATTTTGTTGAGTTTGAGTAGTTTGTCATTTTAGTCTTGGGTGTCATCGATCATGCGCTCTGCACTAGTGACAGTTCTGTCCTTTAAATAGGAGTGCATCCAAATAATTAGAATTTTCTAGATCAGTCTAAGAAGTAGGCAGTCCCACATGGATGACTGAAATTCATTACTAAAATACATTTAAGGATGCCGGGCATGGTGACACATGCCTGCGTGCCTACCAACAGGGAGGCCGAGGTGGAGGGAGTCGTGTGGCTTTCACATGAGAAAAACAATAGTCTGTACAAAAACAATATTTACAGTTGTGAGCCTAGCCTTTAACGGCTGAGCCGTCCCTCCAGCCCTGTATAAAAACAATATATAAAAGAGGAAAAAAATTGCCCATTCTTCAGTTGCTTCTTTGAGACAGTAATATTGAAATTACAATTGAATCTTTTCAGTTTAATCTCTCCGTGGTATTCTTTGTATAGCTTATGGATAATTTAAGTTATTAATAACTGAGTAAGTAATTTGTGTTTTTCGCCACCAATAGGGGTTTGGGAGTGCACAGCAGAGCAGTGGTCTAGAAGAAATAAGACAGTCCCTCAGGAGTCATGGAGTGCTGTTGGAAGTAAACTTTTCTTCCTCTATACATGACCGAGAAATTAGGTTAGTGTATAATGCTTCATTTATTCATTTCTCTCATAGCTGAGACACGTCTTAAAAATTCCAATGCAACATAATTATATACGCATATTTAAATATTAAAACTTCAAATCATGCCGAAACTTGGTAACTTTGCTCTTTGGACAAGAAACCTAGGCGTACCTCTGTAGAGTGGACTTAATTAATTCCTAATCAGATAATGAGTGAGTTCTGTGTCATGGGGGGAGGAGTTCTTTTGTGGGGACCATAGCCGGTGTTCTAGTGAGACATAATTCCTTTCCTACTGAAATTACTATTTGCCTGGTGTGGCTTCCTTCGGTGGTATGTTCTAGTGGTGTGCTGTTGGTCAGGAAACATGCAGCTTCCTAGGGATCACACTAAGATCCCTTCTTTCCATTTAGCATGGTGCTTTTCCTATGGTACAGCAGAGAGACCCTTATTTTTCATACAGAGTTAATCAGAAGCTAACTATGAAAAATGGATGGCAGTACTGCCTTGTTTCCTTATAGGCTGATGGAGGGACTAGCCTGAGGTTTGTTTCAGCTCAAGCTTTTCTTTGTTTAAGGGGAAAGCTTGATGAGTCTTACCCAACTCTGGCTTGCAAAACTAACTCAGATGTCTTGGAATTTTAATAGGTTCAACACTGGATGGATGTTTAAAATTGGAAGGGGACTTGATTATTTTAAGAGACCACAGGTAGGATATGATTTATTTGTTTTTCTTCTATATTACATCTTGACTGAAGTTTCCCCTCTCACTTCCTCCTTCCAGCCCCTCCTCTCGCACCCCTCTCCTCCCCCAGATCCACACTCCCCCCCCCTTTCCCTTCATGGATATGATTTCCTGGGCTCTTAGTCTTCCGAGTGGCTGGCACTATGGTTGGAACGTCATGCTTTCTGTGTGTGTCATTTTTAACAGTACTCTCTTCTCTTCATAGGGTCGTTTTTCCCTTGGATATTGTGATTTAGATCTCAGACCATGTCATGAAACAACAGTGGACATTTTCCATAACAAGCACACAAAAAAAATATGATGTGTGGTAACCTCGCTATACATTTCTGCTTTAGATGGTTTCAGCCCATTTTCTGTTGCTAAAACTGAATACCCTCCGCTGGATGACATACAAAGAATAGAGGATTTAGCATCTGGGGAGGGTCTTCTTTCTGCATCCTGGCACAATGTCACAAGATGGCGTAAGCTTTGAAACAAAGCTTGTGGCAGAGTCAGTACCTCAGAGGTCTCCCGTCTTAACACTGCTGTACTAGGGACCAAGATTCAACTCACAGGCCTTTGTGGACATATTCAAACCATAGCAAGCAAAGCAAATGCTGAGCTTGTTTCTTTTCCCTTTTTTCTTTTTTTTTTAACCTCTGAATTATTTTTATAATATATGAATTTAACAATAAATGTTTACATTTCTACAAATTTCTGGGTCCCTAAATACGCTGTTCAGTAGATTTACAGTGTTTCTTTTGTAAGTCATGGAGTTAAGGGAAAGATTTTACCAGCTTGTTTGGTTGTCAGCAAGTATTTCACAGCTGTTATGAGGACTGCTGGGTGTTAATCTTGCTTCTGGGAGTTCCAAAATGAAAATCCCAGGCTACAGTGCTTGTAAGAGACAGATGGGCTGAGGGCCTCTTAATGAGAAAACAAGTACTTGTGGCTGAAGGTGTAACCCAGAGTGTGCCACTCCTGGGTTCCATCTCTGGCACCACAAACAAGCCCAGAGGTTACAGTTAAGAGAGCTGTCAGCCAGGCTTGATGGGGCATTGTTGTAATCCAGCACCGCAGAGGCAGAGGCTGCTGGATCCAGAATTCAAAGTCATTCTAGGCTCTATAGAGAGCTTGAGGCCATCCGGGACTGCGTGATACCTTGCCTCCAAAAAGAAAAATAAACGGTAGCCTTTGGGAGATGTTCTCTGGCTCTCGGATGTCCAGCATTACAGAGCGCCATAAAGTCAACGTTCCCTGTTTAGCTGTGCTCCTGTGACCGTCCTGCCAGGGCCCAGAGATGCTCTAAGGAGAGACTGTCCTGCCCCTCCCTGTGGTTATTGGACTGATGAAATAATGGTCCCCAATAATTGGCATTTCCCCAGGAATCTCATGCTGGGAGAAAGTAAGACAGCAGCTGTGGTCCCAGCCCGAGGAGGAAGAAATTTCTTTCACACAGTTCTGACAACTCAGGTCAGACTGGAGCCTAGACAATGAGGAGCCAGTGACACCCACACCCCAGGACGCCGTTGGAGGGGTCCTCACCCACCATCCCACTCACCTCCTTCACTGTTGGCTGCAGTGAGGTCGTTAAGGTTGGGAGTAACCTTTGCACCACCCTACTCCTCGGGACTTCTTAGGACAGGGTGTTCACTCTGTGGCAAAGGGTTGGTCTCAGAACGGTGTTTTTACTGCCTCCATTGGGTGTGTGCAGTCTCCAGTGCGCACTTTTAAAAGTTAATGTGTAAGTTGCCAGCACGTGATAGTTATACAATGGGATGGGTTTCACTGTGGTGTTTCCATTTGTGTTTAACACAGGATCATACCCACCTCTCCATTCTCTTATCATTACTTCCCATCCTTTCCTAATGGGCACTTTGGAAACTTAGTAGTAGTTGGCGTTGAATTCAGGAACATTGGACCCAGTTGGCCACCCCTGTCTTGAAACTCCATTCTCCTCAAGCACACGCCTCCGTCTTCCCTTTTAAATGTGAGAGTTGAGTGCAGCTGGGGGGTGCAGGTGAGTCGTGCATGTTCTTAGCATGCACAGAGTCTGGGGTCAGGCCTCAGAACAAAACCAAACTTCGTGTAGTATTCTCCTAAACTCAGTCTGTACTCTGTTCCTAAATGATTTCACCAGGGAGAATTCTCAGTGAAGAGCACCGAAAACTGCTGTTACTTGAGGTGAGCAAAATGTACGGGATTCAGTATAGGGAAGACGCAGACCACCATGAGAGCTACAGACTGAGATGTGGACACGGGTGTGAAAATTACAACTGAGAGCTAAATGTGTGTGTTCCATGTAAAAACCATTTTTTTTTTTTTATTCTTAATTGTAGTCTGATAAGTTCAAACACCTCTTACTAGACTTGTCAGTCCCTGAGGCCAGACGACATGGATGTGAACAGCAGCCGACACAGCGCTTGGTATATAGTGGACACTCAATACACATTACTGTGGGGGACAAGTGTAGGGCTGGGTTATTATTGTAGAGTTAAGGAGTAGCCAACAGTGGTGTTACACTCTGAAAAAGTTGGAAAAATAAAGACGTAAGCACAGGGATCTTAGCAGCAATGTCTGGGGACAGACTATGCTGATTCATGATGGTTAAAGACCCAATGGAAAGGTTGCCAGGTGGTGGCACACCTTTAATCCTAGCACCCGGGAGGCAGATCTCTGTGAGTTCAAGGCCAGCCAGGTCTACATAATGAGTTCCATGGCAGCCAGGGCTACACAGAGAAACCCTGTCTCCAAGAAAATAACAAAAAAGAAAGCCCAGAGACAAAATAACAAATTTATGAATCCCTGGACGTAGGGGTACATATCTTTAACCCCAGAACTCAGGGGCCAGAAGCAGGCAGACCTCTGCGTTTGAGGCCAGCCTGGTCCAATACCATGTTCCAAATGTCACTGAAACTGTCTGTAAAAACAGTTACTCGGGGTCACATTATCCCCCTGATTTTCTCACATAGAATCTTCCATTTACTGTGTAAGCGCTGGTCATCCGGACACGTCCTCAGTAGCATATTCGTCAGCAGGGTGGTTTCAGTGGGGCAGAATTTGCTGCCAATAAAACTTGAGTTTAACGTGTTACCTATTTCCGGCGGCAGCCAATGGCCAGGTGCTTTTATATCGAAGGTTTCGATGAGTCCATTCTTTACGTCTATGGACACCTGAATTTCCAAACGCGCCTGTTCACACGGCACGTGAAATGTGGCGTTGACGCTAAACTTAGGAGTCCGACCGTACACCCATTCCCAACCTTGCAATTCTTTCACTCTGCTGTTGATCCCGGGAAACTGTGTCTCGTCTGCCGGGTTTATTAGGTTAATGTGATTATCGGTGTGATGGTAAGCCGCATACTCCGCGGCAATGGCACTCATCAGAGTCTCACAGGTCAGCGAGGGGTCTTTTTCCAGGAGGTTCTTGACTACAGAGGGGATGCTGGGAGTAGCATTGCTCTTTATCCCTTGGAGTGGGCTCTTGAGCAGAGAAGACAAAGCCGCCCTGTCGGTATTGCACAGCAAGGTGCAATGGTGGTATGCGGCGATCCGGCCAATCTTCGATGCAGTTCCTGAGATTTTAAACTGCCCATCGAGTAACAGGTCAAACCTTTTGGTGGGCTGCACGTCCAGGTGGGGTTGGACAGCGTTCAGAGCTCTCACAATTAATCTCAGGTTTTCCATTCGGTCGTACTTGGTTTTGGTGGTAAAGAAGGTCAGGTTGATGTTACCCATGTCGTGGTACACTGCCCCTCCTCCACTCCTCCTCCGAGCCAGTTTTATAGCTTCCTGTCTCATCAGACGGAGGTTACATTCCTGCCATGGGTTCTGGTGCCTGCCCATGACAACACAGGGAGAATTTCTCCAAAGGAAAAGAACTGGCTTGCCGTCTAGATGTACGTGGTCGTGGATCCAGTCTTCTAAAGCCAGATTTTGATACACGTCATTGGAGGTCGACTGTAAGATGAGCCCGGGTGTTGCTGGGCTCCAAAAGCCGGCTGCTGGAACCTTGTGGCGACAAAGTAGCCGGAAGCAAGGCTTCGTTGAAAACCGGACTAGCATGCTTTTAGGAATAAGGCGGGAGAACAAAAGTTAATTCAATGAGGGAAAAAAAAATTAGATTCTATTCTTTAGTCATTTGTTAATCATTCAAAACTCATCGTAGGGTCCAGACCAGTTGCCTTCCTTGCCTTTCAGCTTTACCCTCAGCCTTGAACAGCTCCATAATAAAGTGTCAAAGGAAATCAACGAAGATAAACTTTTAATGTCAGCTAAAATGAAATAAGAGGACAGTTTTCATGTAGCAAGTATGGGGTAAATTAGTAATGAACAACAAAGCCAAATAATTTTATTTTTGAATTCACAGTACATTTTCATTGAGAAAAATAACAGAGTAGCAAAAAAGAAGAAAGTGGAAGTATCTAGAATCCTACCACCTGGAGACAATCAACATTTTGGTATAAACAACCCCGTTTTATTTCTGTCCATGTGTATGCTCCTTCACACATACACATTTTCTCCTGAAAGGGAATGGCGCTGTTATTTCAAGCAACCTCCCTTGGCCTGAGATGAGACATCACTATTTGACCTTGAGCCCCGTTTGCTTCACCTTCAACCTGAGTCTAGACATTAAATTTATTTTTGTATCAGTTTTATTCTACACGTACACACACATTTGTGCATGCACAGGCCAGATGCCAACATTAGGAATCTTCTATCATGCTCCACTATGTTCTCTGAGACAGGGTACTGAACCCAGAGCCCAGTGATTGTCTAGGCTCCCAGGCCGGATATCCTCTTCTACGGCGATCCAGAGGAGGAACAGTGAAGAAAAGGTGTCAGAATGTGTTGGATACAAACAAACTAGAATGTGGGGGTTTGAAAAAGACCTTGTGACATCCTTTCCTAAGGTTAAGACTGCCGCTCTTACTTGGGAGGCAGAGGCAGGCAGACCTCTGTGAGTTCAAGGCCAGCCTGGTCTACATCAAAGCTAGTTCCAGAACAGCCAAGGCTACATAGAGAAACCCTGTCTCAAAAACAAACAAACAAACAAACAAAAGACTGCCATTCTTGTTAATACATAGAGGTTAAGGTAGAATAGTTGCTTTTAAATTTTAAGCTTTGCAACTTACTAATTGAATAGTTTTAGTTAAAAAGTTTAATCTCTATCTGATGCAGTTGCCTTTAATTGAATACAATTCAAGAGCACATAGGATAACTGAATTTATATTATACATAAACCATTCATATCAGACTAATATGAAATGGATTGATTATAGGGTTTTTGCTTCAATTTTTTTCTTTTTACTCATTTAATACATATTCTTTCAATATATAGGATTCCTAAAAGATGTGTCAAACTGGAATTTACCTTAATAAATTAATTATAGTCTGCAGTTAAGCAGCCAAAACTGAGATCCCTATGAAGGTTCTAGAACTGATCTAATTCATGAGTTAGTACAATGCATGGATTGCCTATTTGTTTGATTCATGCATTTTAATAATTTTAACTAGGACAAAGGTATTAATCTGACGAATTCTTCATCTGCGTGCATTGTTCTTGACCGTAGGGATTCATCAACGAACCACATAAAGGTGGTAAGAGTTACAGGGAAAAGGAAAGATAGGACTGGAAGAGGGAGGACTGGAGACCTATTTGTGAGTCTAGGCCTCATTAAAATGGTGACGCGTGAGTCAAGACTGAGGGGTTATACGGAATGATTACGTGCCACAAAGTATTTTAGATGTCACAACCCATCCCACCCCGGGTTTCTTTATGTAGCCCCGGCTGACCTGGAGCTCACAAGAGAGCTGTCTGTCTCTGTCTCAGGGTTGAATGCGTGCACACAGTCTCTGAGTCCGATGTTGTTTCTCCTTTATTCTGTTCTGTAGCTGACTCCTGCCTAAATGAAACAGTGCTGCCTTTGAAAGCCTGGACGAATTTTGCTTCTACAAAGTCACTTTCTACCTCTCTCTACACTCTGATGTTTTAGTTATTTTTTTCTCATGTATTTTAATCATATTCCTTCCCTTTCCCAGACCTCACCACTTTACGTCCTCGCTTTCTTTAAAAAACAAAACAAAACAAATAAAACCCACGGAAACTAAAAATAAGCAAAAAACCCATAAGACAAACACATGCCAAACAAAAGGAACAAGGAGTGCACACAAAAATTCCACGAAATTAGTTTTGTGTCGGACAGCTACTCCTGGGCACGGTGCCTGCCCTGGAGTATGCTTGGTACCGGCATCTACACTCGTATTTAAAAAGCTTTAGCTGTGCAAGGAATTGAACTCGGACACTTGCTCAGTCCAGGTCTGAGCTATACCTCATAGCATCCCCCAGCTCTGTTTCCATCTTCATTACCAGCGTTATCATTCCTTTTCTTGGACGGCGTTTCCACGCTCTGGCAGCCCCTTCGCACTGCTAAGTATGCTTCTCCACGAGGCCCGCCTTCCTCACCAGGCATTACCAAAACTACTGCTTGCTACCTTCCTGACATGACCCCAGCCGGGGGTGGGGTGGGGGGTCTGGTCGCGGACTTTTAGAGCACGCGACTAGCGTCCGATGCCTTGCTTAGTTTACCCTCCGCCCAGTTAGAAACCAACTAACTATTCATGGTCGTGAAATTACGAAGTCTGGAGCTCCGGGGGCATAACCCTGCAGAAAGAGCTTTCAGCGCTAGCCGGAGGGGGCCAAGGGACGGACGCGTGGTACGCGCAGCAGCCACGCCCGCTCAGCGCCAGCCAGCCATAAACCCGCTACATGTGCTTCCGGCTTCACCCACCTGCCACTTCCGGTCGCGCCTGCGGCTGTTGTGACTTGCAAACTAAAAAAATCAATCCGCAAACCCAGGCCAGCAGCACTCGGCACGCGAGACCAGTTCTCCCCCTGCAGCCACGCCCATAGAGGCCCGCCTCCGCGCGGGACCCCGCCCCTGGGAAGGCCCCGCCCCCTGGCCATGCCACACCCCGCCCCATCCCCGGGGATTGCAAAGGGCGTGGCCAAGCCTGTCCCTGCTGGCTTTTAAAAGGTGTTCCTTAGCTGGTAAGGAATTCAAAAGCAGACTCGTGGGAGGGTTTGTGAGGTCTCAGTGCAGAAGGGGTCCCCCGAGTGACAGCGGAGAGCAGGGGTGTGAAGGGCGCAGGCATGGAGCGAGTTTTGAGGAAGCCCCAGCCATCCAGAGCAGGCAGGTGACACACGGGGCTCGATTGCCAGGAATTAATGACTCTGCGCTAACTTGTAGGCACAGTGAATGTGGAGAAATTCAAGGTCAGCACTGGAAGGAATTTGGAAGAGTAATTGTTACCCCGCAATACAGACCGAATGATAATAAACTGGACTGAAGGGATGGGGGTGGTGGTGGGGGTCATGATGTTTACTGTGCAGTGCTCCACGTAGCTGTTGACTAGGAAATCCCTGCTGGAGAGCAACAGAAACCCCTGCGGATCGAGTACATGGGAAATTCCCCTGCAGCCAAGGTAGCAACGCAATATTGTCTGCTGGCTATTGCAGGATAAAGCCGTCTCAAATATGAGTGGCCGACCAAGGACACGGGCACACTGGGTGATCCCTCCGCGGGTTTCTTTCAGAAAGTTGGCCGAACTGCAGTCCAAACTGGTCTCCATTCATACCCAAGCAGGAGCTGGTTAGCCACTGGGTTTGAGTTCAACCAGCTCTTCTTAAAACTTCTTTTTGTGCGGGGCGGTGGTGGCTCACGCCCTTAATCCCAGCACTCGCGAGGCAGAGCCAGGCGCATCGAATAGCCTATGTCAGCAGTGAGTTTGAGGCCAATGTGGCCTACAGAGTGGGTGCCAGGACAGGCTCCAAAAAATGCACAGAGAAACCCCATCACAAACAAACAAACAAAAAAACACAAAACTTCTTTCTGTGGGTGAGATAGAGTCTCACCCTGTGTGCCAGACTTGCCTGGAATTAACTTCACAGACCAGGATGGCCTCCCAGAGATCTCCTCGCCTCTGCCTCCCAACCGTTGGGATTAAAGACATTAGCCATGGTACTCAACCCAGATCCCTTCATTTAAATTGTGTTTACTATATTAACTCTGAGATTACACACAGTCCACAGCAAACCAATCTGTCTATTCACGTGAATATATGTAGGCTGCAGGATGACTACAGAGAGTTAAGGAAACAAGAGGTCTGAGAGGCTAAAGCGGAGGGGTCCATGCCTGTCAGGCACCAAACCAACTGAAAGGTTTGGAAAGGGTGTGCCTGCGGTGGCCGAGAGCCAGGGTCAGAGTTCATCTGTAGAGCTGCATCCAGCTGCAGTCTCTGTCAGCAGCTGGGACAAAGCAGAGCGGAAGCCCCTTGGAGAGCTGGGAATTATCAGGCTCCTGACACAGGCACACTCTGGAAAGGTCAGCTGACAGGTTATTGGGGCCATCCCCACCACGGTTGTATGTCTCTGCCTCTGCGTGAGAGAGTTGCTGTATTTCCAAGGCCTGTGCATCTAACAAGCTCTTGGGTACAGTTTCATTATGTTTTTATTTATTTTGTACGTGTGTATGCTATGGAGGGCAGAGGACAACACGCAGGAGACAGCACACCCTCTTCTCCCATCAAATGGGTTCTGGGGATCAAACTCAAGTCCTCAGTCTTGGTGGCATGTACCTTACCTGCTGAGCCAGCCTGACAATCCTGATAGGATTTTAATACAGCCACATGCTCCTATAGTACCGATTCACCTGGAAAAAATGTATGGGGTGGCTCCCTGTCTATGCCCGCAAATAAGTCATTTATTAGTGTGTGTTTCTTGAGGCTGCAAGGCACATGGTTCACCTAAGCGCAGAGCCATCCTCCATCTTCAAAATGGAGTCAAAGCGGCTTGTAAAGTGGAGTCTCTCCTGACAAACCAGTCTTGGAACAAAACCAACAACAGTTTTACATATTATGGCAAATCCAGGGCAGGGCATGAGAGCATCCAAGAGAGCATCCAAAGTTTTACAACTTAGCTCTATTTCATAGTTCCATACTTTGAAAACTTGATCTACCCAAAATCTACAGTCCTGAGTTCCCCCATACCCCCGCGAAACCTCATT